ACCAGTTTCGTGTGTTGGGCCAACTATTCAACCTCTCCAAACCTCAGTTTCTTAACTCTAAACTGGCGATGATAATATCTATCTCCTACAGTTGTCATGCAGTCAACAAAATAACAAACCAGCCCCCTGTCACTTTGTTAAGGCTCCCAAAAAGGCACCAGATGTTTTTATTAATGCATTCAATCAAAGTTCCAAAGAACAGATATTTCATATGCTGTATTAATAGTGTCCAGGTCTACAGAAAGATGGAACACTATTCACCTGACTTCAGAAAATCATGACCTTAATATAAAAATCTGACATATTAGCACAAAATATACAAATATTCTTTGGGAATATATGTGAATTAAATAAAACATAAGCAAACAGTGCTGTAATGAAAGAATGAAAGACCAAAATCAAATAAGGTATTTCCCAGAAATAGATGAGTGGTTCACTCTGAGGCAATCTATAATCCACTTCATCTCATTGCCAGCCAATAGGCAGTGTGTTGACCTAGAAGTGCTCTAAGTTATTTGCCTAAGGAAATGAGACATGGCCTCTTAAAGCTTTGTGTTCAGGGTTATTTGGTGTAACATTATTGAACTTTTAAATAATCTGAATATATTAGATAAACAAATGCTTAAATTATATGTAGAAATATACAATGGACTTTTCTATACAAAGGACTATTGTGGAACCACATAAAATATTTCAAAGATTTCCAAATGTGAAAATATATTCAAGATGTGTTCTCCATAATGTATAAAGGGAACAGATTAAAAAGAGCATAAATACATGTTCACATATATGGAAACTACACATATTTAATTGTTTATGTAAATGTACATGTATATATGAACATTTAGGTTTAGGTTTTTTCTTTCCCTACTACAAAAACACTGCAGTGAGTAACCTCACACATTTGTTATTTTGTACAAGTGTGAGAATCAAATCACCATATTTTTCTCCATTTTAAGACTTGTAATCTGATTCTCATTTGTGCATGATGAAATATGCAAAAGGGTCATCACAATATTGTGTGTGTGTGTGTAAACAGATATACAGTAATTTATGTGAGAGGGAAACAAAAGGAAATATAACAAAATGTTAGAATGGTTATTTTAGGACAGTTTTAATTTTCATCTATGTACTTTAATTTTTTTTCATTTAATGTCAATGTAGGAAAAAGATAAAATGTTAGCAAAATATTTGAAGTGATTCAAACAAAAGGAAATGCTTTGCACACAAAATATCCAGATTTAAGACATTTATCCTGTTTGTAAACTCATCTTTTACATAAATTATAAGAACTACTTCAAATAAGGTATTAAGGGGTTTTTGACAGTGTCTGGAGATCGGCAGGCCAATGATATACATTCAAATGAAAATCATTGTGAAGTTTAGCTTTTAAAAGTGTTCGTGAAAGTGTTTAGCACACAACCTGCAGCCCAATGGTTACCAGAAATTATTAAGTGAACCTGAATTACCCCCTTTCCTAGCAACAGCTAGAATCTGCAATGGAAGACTACAAGTGTTCTCTAACTGCCACTCCACCCTCAACCTGAGCTCTCTCATTTCTCAGGACTGTATCTTTGATGCTTTCATGTTGCTTAAAGACAAATAAACCAAGAAATAACAACAACAGAAAATAATACTGCTTTTCTCGTTGCCTCTGAGGACATGCAGAAAAACCCTGTCCTTTATCTGTCTGTCTGGATTTTCTCTTCTTGTTTAACCAAGCCCAATGTAGAGTTGATTCAACCTTTCCCAAGTGTTTTTTCCATAGATATAACTTAACTTTCTGTCTTGGGGAGGGAGAATGTCTTCATGTGAGGAATTCTGGCTTATTGCCAAAGCCACACCATACTGGATGGTATCCATGACTATTTAAAGTCTGGTCTGCACCAAAGGAGTGATACAATTATTCTACTGGTCCGAGAAATTTTGTCTGGTAGGAGTACATTGGATAATATGTCTTAGAAATGTCCAGAACTAAGAGAAATCTGGACAAAAAAAAAGATATAGCACGGGCCTAGATTTAGGAGATGCTTATAGGACCAGGATTTAGGCACTCACTGGATATGGAAGATTGAGGGAAATGGTGATGAATGACTGAAGTTTCCCATTCCTAGCCGGTGAAACATTACTGTGGACAGAAGTTTTGAACTCTGGAGAATAAAATGAGCTCACTTGAGAACATAACGGTTTGGGCTGAGGGTAGGAATTTCAAAGGAATGTTCATACGTAGTTTAAAATCAAACCCTACAGACAGATGAACCTCAAGCTAGAGGTGTGGATTTGAGAACTCTTAATTTGGGCAAGAAAGTAGAGCCGCATCTTCATGAAGACACCTGAGCCTATGGAGCTCTGGTATTCAGACTAGAAGGGGAAGAGGGGTCTGATGGAGGGGCTGGAGAATGAGGAGCCAGAGGATGAAATGCCAAGCATAGGGAAGACAGTGTCAACGAGAAGATGGAAGGAGATGGAAGTAGACCTTCTGGCCCTTATGATGCAGTTAAACCAAAGCAAAGGCCTCGTGCTATGTGAGGAATTCTGGCTTATTGCCAAAGCCACACCATACTGGATGGTATCCATGACTATTGAAAGTCTGGTCTGCACCAAAGGAGTGATACAATTATTCCACTGGTCTGGGAAATTTTGTCTGGTAGGAGTACATAGGATAATATGTCTTAGAAATGTTCAGAACTAAGAGAAATCTGGACTAAAAAAGATACATTGTGGGCCTGGATTTAGGAGATGCTTATAGGACCAGGATTTAGGCACTCACTGGATATGGAAGATTGAGGGAAATGGTAATGAATGACTGAAGTTTCCCATTCCAAGCCAGTGACACATTACTGTGGACAGAAGTTTTGAACTCTGGAGAATAAAATGAGCTCACTTAGGAACATAACGGTTTGGGCTGAGGGTGGGAATTTCAAAGGAATGTTCATATGTAGTTTAAAATCAAACCCTACAGACAGATGAACCTCAAGCCAGAGGTGTGGATTTGAGAACTCTTAATTTGGGCAAGAAAGTAGAGCCGCATCTTCATGAAGACACCTGAGCCTATGGAGCTCTGGTATTCAGACTAGAAGGGGAAGAGGGGTCTGTCTGATGGAGGGGCTGGAGAATGAGGAGCCAGAGGGTGAAATGCCAAGCATAGGGAAGACAGTGTCAACGAGAAGATGGAAGGAGATGGAAGTAGACCTTCTGGCCCTTATGATGTAGTTAAACCAAAGCAAAGGCCTCGTGTTTCCTCACCTCCTTGCCTTAGTTGAACTAGATGCAAGCACCCGGGAAAATAAAATACAATGTCGAGTCAAAGCAATAATACAATATTGAAGTGTGCTTTAGTAGTAAGCCAAATCTTCCTTCAGATTTAGAAGTCCTTAAAATGCCTTGAACTCTGGGCTTTGGCAACTATGACTATTAATTTTGCAGTTTGCTCAGTCTACATGGACTTTTGCATTATCAACTAAGAAAAATGCTTTGAAATATCAGGCTGTGTCATTTATAGGCAGGACAGAGTCTAGAACCTAGGACTAGTGATCTCAGGCAGTGGTGAAGTTCGTGTCACTTTGCTGCACCACATGATGTACCTGGACACCTGTATGTGGGTCAAGCCAAAGCCCCATCAAGCGTGAGCACCTTCAGCTGCGGATCCTCTTCCTGGATGCCCTCCCTAACACCCTCCCCCACCAAGGGTCTACTTGCCCTGCCCAGTTCCCCACCTCATATATGTATACTTGCTAATGCTCCACCCTCCATTCTCTTCCTCCACCCACCCCTACCCCCAACATAGCTTCCATTGCTGGCCAGCAGGACCTACAGATGTGGGTGGATCACCATGGTGACAAAGCCCTGATGGTGAAGGAGACAGCAGCAGAGAGGAAGGTTCTTTGAGCCAAACTGTCTCTTGCCCTTCATGTTTCCAGGGCATCAAAAGGCCAGGCTTTTTAGAAGTACTTTCTTTGACTCAGAGAAGCATGTTAGAGGTCAAGAGTGGGGATGCTGTGTTGTGAGACAATGAAATGCCTGAATTCTTCTTTAAACATGTCTTTTCTATGATTTTCAGGTGATCATCTGTATAACCATCCGATTTTAAGCAGTGCTACCCAGACCCCTACACATGGTGAGAGATGTTTGAGGGCTCTGGGCATTCCATCCTATTCCAAGGGCTTCATCCTTACTACTGATGCCCTCTGGGGCATCACACATATGGCCACTGACTCACTGAAGCCACGCAGGTGTAAGGAGCCAGATGCCTGCCCTCCTCCAGGGCCACAATGCCTCATTCTCACTTTTAAACCATTGTCCTCTTAGTCTTCTATCTCCAATATCACAGTGACCTTCCACCATGAAAGGGAAGGAGGGAGGCCCTTTCTTAACCCATTTTTCACTTGCAATCTTTATCACTTCTTGCAGTCATAAATTCCTTATTTCCACAGCAAGGAGTGAACACTCTTCTTTGCCCAGGGCTACTTGTGGTACCATTTACAAATGCCTTGAAACTTGGTAAACTACACCGATCCTCCCAAACCAGACTGGGTGACTTGAGCTTTAGCCTCTTGGCAGGGGAAGAAGCTGACCGTTGTAGATCATGGGACTGTCAGAATAATGCCAAAGGGTTACAAAACCATGTCTCCCTCTTAGAATGTAACACTCTCCCACCAGATCACAACTTAACATCTGGAAGTGCAGAGAAAAACTATTTTTGGTACCTGCTCAAACTTGATAAAACATAAGACAGCCATGGACACTGTGAACTATCAGTCATTCTTCTGTCTTTGCTGTGAAGGACTGAAAACATCATTAAATGTTAGAGAGAAACTCAAAACAAAGATAAATGCTATAGCTCAT